TCTCTCTCTCTCTCTCTCTCTCTCTCTCTCTCTCTGTACATTTGTATATATATATTTTTTTTATATTTATTTGAATACACGTTGATATTCTAATGTGTTTAACATATAAATTGGTGTTTTAGAAGAGAAGATTATATTTGTTCCAAGATAGTAGACTGGACATAATAAAACCACTTTGTTAGCTTCGTTAAGTTTTTTTTATTTGCTATATAACATCCAAGATATTTAACATACAAATTGATATTTTAGATATTATAATATTTTTTATTTATTTATTTTTTTTTCTTCCTTTCTTATGCATAAATAGAAGAAAGTTGCGTTGATTGTAATCACTTTGTCGATTTATCTTTTTACAATATTGATCTATATTTTCTTTTTTTTTTTTTTTTTTTTTTTTTTGAGATTTTAATCGATATTACAAATACTTTCAAAGTGTTCGAAGACTATTGATTGAATTAATACGATATGATTACACTTACATGATACCAAATATTTTTATTGTATCTTGTTAGAATAAAAATATAGCCTTTATTATACTCCGTTATGAGTTTACAGTGACAAAAATTCGAAAAGATTTTTGATTTTTTTTTTATGTCGGTACGTATATATACATATATTTACGAGAAACTTGTATCATTGTGTTTTCAATTCGAGAGAGCTTAAAGCGACACTCAGCACCGATGATGTTACTTTAATTGCTCAACTCGACGCGACACGATGTCACGAGAAAAAAGACGCATTCATTTTTACTCGAATCGAATCCACTCGTCGCCAGTCGGTGTTCTCGATCGTTTTCTCTTTGACCCTTTTTATAGCTTCGATATATGTATCAATATAATATTATTTGCGAATGGATCTGAAAGATCGGGTTATTAAAATTTTACTGATTAGAAACTTGATCTTGTTTCATTATTTAAACACATTTAACGTCAAATCTAATTTCAATTTTTATTTAATTAATTATTAATTATAATATATTATGAAAAGAAATTAAATTATATTATTATGGTTACTTTATGCTAAGGTATTAAGTAATTAAGTATCAAAGTATATATCTGAATAACATTGAAACCTAGAAAATATTATAACTTGTATCTCTATAATATAATATTTTATAACAAGTACTAAAAAGACACCACGCGAACTATAAAACGCGACTCGTTAAAATTTCACTTTTTCATGTTCTTAATCTTGAAGTTCACGACACGAAACATTTCGAACTTTAGTAATAGCTAATGCAATTTCTCTTTTTAAAGATTTATAGCCTTAACTTTATCGAAATGAATTTTACCTTTGGACAGTTTCACTGTTTAATATGTATGTAGTTATATACACATGTACTACTTACATATACGTATGATCGAGAAATTATGGGATTTTCATGTTCTCCCTGTACAATTTTCATAGAACTCACGTACCATACGTGTACGTATACATTAACATTCCATTACTTTTTTTTTACACCGATAGCAAGTTCGTCAGTTTTTGCAATTGTAAAAGAGAGAAAGAGAGAGTTGGAGAGAAACAAAAAAAAAAGGGACAAAACAAAAAAGAAAGAAAGAGAGAAAAACATAGTATCGAGTTGGTAAACGAGCTTAACTTTTTTCAACGATCTGAGAGAGAGATTCTGATGCTTGCAACATTGTTATTTTCCGTTATGTGTTTGTAGAAAGTTTTGTGTCTACATTTACTATATACACGAACATAACATACATACGTAAATGGTTGACAAAAAAATGACCCTTTTTCCTCTCTCTCTCTCTCTCTCTCTCTCTATCTCTTGGTATCTTCTCTCTTCCTTTTTCTCTCTCTCCTCTCTCTCTCTCTCTCTCTCTATCTCTTGGTATTTTCTCTCTCCCTTTTTCTCTCTCTCTCTCTCTCTCTCTCTCTCTCTCTCTCTCTCTCTCTCTCTCTCTCTCTCTCTCTCTCTCTCTCTCTCTCTCTCTCTCTCTCTCTCTCTCTCTCCTGTTTTGTCCGCTTAAAGTTCGAGGCTACCACCGTCTGTGAGAAGAGGTCTGCGCTTGAATAGTGTCGCTTCGCGAGTACGCGTTGCTTTGTTACATCTTCGATCGTGTATAAGATACTCTCTTCCTTTTAGCTTTCCCTGGTTTCCCTCAAACCCACCACTCTACGCGTATCGAGTTTTATTACTCGTACAACGACCCCGATCTAACTTAACATTTTATTCCCTAAGATTCTTGGCCCGATTAGACGATGGAAAAACTTTGGACAAAGGTAATGTACACGTGAACTTCAACTCTTTTGATATTTCTTATGTATATATATTTTTTTTTCTTCTCTTTTGTTTTTGCCACCTTTGTATCTGTATATATATATATATTTTTTTTTTTTTTTTTTTTTTCGTTGCAAATATGCAATTTCCTATTTCGAAAAAGTTAAATTGTCGCAATTACAAGAATATATCAATTGATTATAAAGAAAAATTATATAGATATAGATAAGAGAGACAAGGTAAAAGTTAAAAGAATAATCGATCAGCAATATCGTTTCTATTTTTATTTAATTTTTAATTTTGTTTATACAGCAATAATATTATTTTGTATTTACTTATGAAATGTGGTATTATACTTTTATCTAAAATTCATGAAAATCTTACGACCCTTGAAATGCTCCTCGTGTACTATAGTTAGCCATTGTCACAGGGGTGTTATAGAGGATATAGAAGTGGAACGAAACGTGAGTTAGACTCAATACATACACGTACGCATGCACGTACGCATTTTATATATATATATATATATATATATATATATGCATACACATACATAGAGAGAGAGGGGGGGAGAGATATTTATTTTTAAATGGATTTTTACATATTTTTCGTTTAATCAATTTATCGAAAATCTTTAAACGTATTAAATCCGACATATCCGATATAACAGACGAATAGGATTTTTTTTAACAAAGTCTACGCTAATGATCGCGTTACGAAATTATATTTAATTATTCAATTTTATGTCTATGAACGTGGTTTCATCATCTATATACACAACATGTTCATATGTATGCATGTTTGCACATGTCGAGATGATATGAAGAAAGTGAAGTGCAGTTAGGTTGTATAAGAAATGTATAACTAATTGCATAGCTATATATACACATATATATATATGTATATAGCATGAAACACATATATATATATATATATAGCATGAAACACACACATATATATATATAGCATGAAATATCAAATGTCTACGTCCCTTATATGAAGTTTAAAGTTATTATAACGGTTTGATAATTTTCGTAAGATAGGCATGGACACGTTAGCATCCCCTCGTTAGCAACGTCATCGACTTAACGCGAGTTCTATATTCGTGGCTTTATTAAACCCAGTGAGGACCGGTGTATTCTAGCTTAATAAATATACATGCATTCTTGATTCGTCCATCGACCGTGTCCGTGGAGCTTCAAGTCCAGCAGTTTGCTCCGCAACGACACTTAACCTTCTTCTTTCTTCGCTATCTCTCTTCTTTCTCTCTTTCTCGCAATTGTCTCTCTGACGTTAACGAACAAAAAATAAACGATTTATAAAAGATAAACATCTATGGAACAAAGTAAGCTCGATCGTACCTTCTATACATACGTATATAAATTTATATATATATATGCGTGTGTTTGTGTGTGTGTGTGTGTGTGTGTGATATGGGATGAATTCTTTCGTTGATTTATTTTAATCGTTTAGAATGTAAGAGAAAAAGAAAGAGAGATTGGGAAAATATCTTTTCATTCAAAGTTACGTGAAACTAGTCGTGCGATATATTAAAACGCATTTCTCTATAAAATACATTATTGCTTTTCAAATCGTTGAATCAGAACGCTCGGAAAACGAGAGAAAAAGAGAGAATGCAATGAAGCAATTACGAATGTTTGCGACCGATAAAGAAAATCGCTATTCGAGCGAGACTAGGAAAAGATCTATGCTATGTTTATATGCACGTGTGCGTGCATCCGTGCGTACGTGCGTATGTGTGTGTGTATGTGTGCACGATCGCGTGTGTTCGTAATATATAGACATACGATTAGTATTACATACTTGTTATGATATGAAAGCTCGAACTTAGACTGTTCATCGCTCATTCTTTATCCATTCTTTATTTCTGTGTCTCTCTCTCTCTCTCTCTCTCTTTTTCTCTATCTCTCTATCTCTCTCTCAAATCCTTGGAGACTCTTACTTCATTGATATTTACTATTATGGTATAGTATACCTAGCTAAGCTGGATATATGCAGTAAATCCGAAGTACAGAATAAAATATGAGTCAAGTAACTCACGAGAGTCGAAGGATCGAAATGAGTGCTCTCTCAATCATAAAATTTTTAATTTCTTGTCTTTTCCTAACTAACACAGACGTATAATCTATTCGACAATTTTTTCTCTCATTCCTTTCGTGATTATTTAATAAGTACGAATACGTTCGTACGATATACGTCGGAATGATATTAAAGAATTTTCTTTGGGATTATTTAATTATAAAAAGAAAAATATATTTTAATTACGAAAAAAAGAAAGAGAAAAAAAGAAACATACGAGATATAAAATACAGGTATGTATGTAAGTAGATGTTTTTCAATATACTATTTATTCTTCTCCTTTATTATATTAACGTTTCATGTTATTCATGTTTCGTGACTTTTCAACTCGTTCAACATTATTCTTCTTTTTACATAGATATTGTATATACATATATACAAAATAATGGAAAAAAAAACAAAACAAAAAAAAAAGAACAAAAAACAAAAAACAAAAAACAAAAAACGAAAAAGGAAAAAGAAAGGAAAAAAGAAAAAAAAGAAAAGCAACAATACATTTCTTATATATATATATATGTATATATATATATATATATATATATATATATATATATATACAATATTTTCTTATATGTACATATATATATATATATATATATATATAAGAAAAAAAAGGGGGAAAAAAAAAGAAAAAGAAAATAACGTAAGTGATTCACATTTGTTTCAGTTTTTCCAAATGTGCCGCCCGCCCCAGGAATGCCTTGTCAAGGAGAAGACAGTGAGTGTTTCGTTGCATTTAACGCCATCAGTATATAGTATATTATATCGATGCTCGTTGTTGTTTTATAGTAGTGTTGCTTTCGATCGTGTCTTGATACGTATACTAGCCAGCGAGTTGGTCGACGAACGACGATAAAATGGATACGACCCCAAATACTTTGTGTGTATTCTCGGCAATATCCATCGATGGAAAATTTGTAAATCGATCCGAACGAATCGTGACAAATCATCATATCGTCATCGTCATTGTCATCATGATCATTATCATTATCATCATCGTTCGTCATATTGATTTCTTTTTTCGTTCACGATCATATACATACATATGTATGTATTAATCTATTTATGTACATATGTACGTACGTATGTATGTATGTATGTATGTATGTATGTATATCCAAGTAATTCCACGAGAGAAAGATACTTTCAAGCACGTAGAATATTTAAAATTTCGCGGTTGTCCCACGACTAAATACGAGATGTTTACAAATTTTCCGTCGTGCGTCTCATTTCCGTTTTTGTGTTTTGTTACGTACATATACACATATATATATATATTAATATATATATATATATATGTGTATATTATATCGCGTTTTCGTTCTCGCGAAGTAAGATTCCTATTGAACACGTGCGATTTCTAAACGATTTTACGAAAGCATGGAGCAGTTAAGTTTAATCCGATTCTTTCTTCAAGTTATTCAACACGGTTAGAAACATTTCTATCTATGTATAATATATATGTATATAAACATGTGTACATGTATATATATTTAAACATAACACGCGAAAGAGACGTATGAAACGTAGAAGAAAAGATTGCTTGGAAGAATTATTGTCATTGTTACATTAAAGTCATTTTTATATTTTATCATTTCTTATTTATTAACATATATACATTATATCAGACGAGTAGTAAACAGAGAAATATATGCACTTACATATATATTTTTATAAATCATCCACACAATTCTTCTTTGCTGATAATTTATGTTGCCTTTTTTGCATTGTTATTACGTATTGTTATTGTCGTTGTTGTATTATTGATCGTTCCTCAAAACATTCATTAAGTTGTCATGACATGCTCTTCTCATTATATTTTCTTTTTATTTTCTTCATTTCGATATGCGCGAGATAAATTAATATCACAGGTATTCCAATCACCGTAAATCCTTTTACCCTAATACCACCCCCACATAAAATTCCTTCAGCCTTTTGTGACAATTATTTGGTTTCATTTTCCAAAGGAAGCATATACAGACGCGGAGCACGTAGGTGGAGGAAGCTGTACCGGGTGAATGGACATATATTTCAGGCGAAACGCTTCAATCGGGTAAGCATCAATATATCTATGTATATATATATACATATATATATATATATGTATATATATAGATATTTTTTTTTTACAATTAAAATTTTTCATTATTATTTCAATATGTATATATATATATATATTTTTCTTTTTCTCTTTCATATACATATCAATCATCATCGAGCCTGTATATTATATACATATATATATATACATATATATATATATACATATATATATATATATACACATATATATATATATAGAATTCTATCTTTTTCCCTTTCGTTTAAAACATGATCAAACGACATAATCGTACGAGGAAAGAGGAAGAAGGAAACTTGCTGGCTAGTGAAAGTTCGTTGATAATCGAGCTTTCTCGCAGAAGGATCTTCTCATTTATTTTCTTTTCCATTTTCTTTCTTTTTTTTTTTCTTCTCTTTTTTTCTTCTTCCTTTTTTTCTTTCCTTTTTCTTTATCTTTTCTCTCTTCATTCGAAAGATTAGACGCAATACAAACACTTTTTCGCTGTTCTGGCATATAGAATACGCTGCCGCCTATATGATAACAAAACGTACGTTTGAATATTATTTTTCTTTTACACGCCTGAAGAACTAATGCAATAAACGTAGTAGTAACGTGGATTCGTCTCGATGGTTGGAGAGGCTGAGAATAACGTATGGCGGAATCGGATCGAGACTCTGATACGATGAGGGAGATAAAAGGAGAAATAGAATGTTTGTGTGTGTTTGTGTGTGAAAGAGAGAGGAAGAGAGAGAGAAAGAGAGAGAGAGGGAGAGAGAAAGAGAGAGAAAGAGAGAGAGAGAGAGAGAGAAAGAGAGAGAGAGACACATATACATACACAAACACAGGACAGAGACAGAAAAGGGCCAATATAGGTATAGGTACTATCGATAACTAACTTCCTTGTTTGACTTCCTTCTCAGCGGGCGTTCTGCGCGTTCTGCCAGGATCGGATCTGGGGACTGGGTCGGCAGGGATTCAAGTGTATCCAGTGCAAGCTCCTTGTACACAAGAAATGTCACAAGGTGGTGCGGAAGCCCTGCTTGAGCATGCAGCAGCAGCAACAACAGCAACAACAACAATTGCAGAGCACGGAATCCCAGACGATCGACAGGAACGGCGATCAACAACAGCCTGATTCTCTACGTTGCAGTCCGGCAGCTCATCTCGAAGACGAGATCGCTGAGTCGCCGATCGTTGAGGAGCACTCACGTAATCGTAAGAAATCGCGATTATATTAATACGTTCTCAGTCAAATTTTCTTTTTTAATAAGGATAATAGATTTAACAAGGATAAAAAGAATCTAATGATCTAAAAGATATAATTATATACATATGTATGTTTGTTTGTGTGTGTGTATGTGTGTGCGCGTGCATGTATATATATTTGTATTTATATTTTATTTAAAAAAAAAAAAAGAAATATTAGATCAGTATACTGAGTCTATGTAAAAGTTTTTCTATAGTCGAATACGTTAAGAAAGAATTCTTTTTAAGGTATGGATTTATAGATGATTTCTTCATTACTTTTTCTTGTTTTTTTCATCTGTTTTTTTTTTATTTTTTTTTTTTTTTAATCTAAAAACAGGAACCGGTAGCTACGAAGGGGAAGAATTGGCATTGGATACGGTTACTGGCGCTGATAATTCAAACGATATGCAGAGGCAATACTCGTTGAACGATTTCGAACTCATCAGGGTGATTGGTCGTGGTTCTTATGCAAAAGTTCTCATGGTCGAACTTAAACGTACCAAAAGGATCTATGCGATGAAGGTGATCAAGAAGGCATTGGTAACAGACGATGAGGATATTGACTGGGTGCAAACGGAGAAGCATGTATTTGAGACTGCCTCGAATCATCCCTTCCTCGTTGGCCTTCATTCGTGTTTCCAAACACCCTCTCGACTTTTCTTCGTCATCGAATTCGTCCGAGGTGGTGATCTTATGTTCCACATGCAAAGGCAGCGTCGACTTCCTGAGGAACATGCACGCTTTTATGCGGCTGAGATCAGTCTTGCGTTGAACTTCTTGCACGAGAAAGGTAAATAGAGATATATGAGGTATTTAATTTTTAATTTATATATATATATATATATATATATATATATATATATTTTATCTTCATTTTAAAGCACATAGATTACGTTTAGAAATTTTCATTATCATTAGTATATAAAATTCTTATATAAATTTTAATCCCCAAAATTATTTTGGATAAAGATATAATGAAAACAATAATATTCACACGACAGGTATAATATATCGAGATCTAAAACTGGATAACGTATTGCTGGATCACGAGGGACACGTCAAGCTTACGGATTATGGAATGTGCAAGGAGGGTGTCCGAGAAAGCGATACCACTGCAACTTTCTGTGGAACACCTAACTACATAGCCCCGGAGATATTGCGTGGCGAGGATTATAGCTTTTCAGTCGATTGGTGGGCTCTTGGCGTTTTATTGTACGAAATGTTGGCGGGTCGTAGCCCCTTCGACATCGCCGGTGCTTCGGAGAATCCCGATCAGAATACCGAGGATTATCTCTTCCAAGTTATATTACAAAAGACGATTCGTATTCCGCGATCGTTATCGGTAAAGGCCGCTTCCGTTTTGAAAGGCTTCCTTTGCAAGGATCCCGCTGAGAGACTTGGTTGTGGAAAGAGGCCTTCGGCCTTTTTCGATATAGTCACGCATTCTTTCTTCAAGGCGATCGATTGGGAAATGGTATGTCTTTTTTTTCACTCTCCCTCTTTCTCTCTCTCTCTCTCTCTCTCTCCTCTCTCTCTTTCTCTCTTTTCTATTCAGAATAAATAGATAGATAGATATAGAGGTAACTCTTTGAATATATGGATTCTAACGAGCTATGTTAATCGATAATGTGCAGCTTGAACAGAAGCAAGTCACGCCGCCATATAAACCACGCTTGGATTCTGACCGCGATTTGGCAAACTTCCCGCCGGAGTTCACCGATGAGCCAGTACATCTGACGCCGGATGATCCGTAAGTTTTTAACTATTGATAACTTGGAAGGTTAGTTTGAGAGATTCGAGTATTAATGGTTTATCCTTATTATCAGGGTATCTCTGAAAGTTATCTAATAGTTTATCTTTATTATCAGGATATCTGAAAGATAATAATCGTCGTTTGAAATTATGTAAATATATAAATATTATCCCGTTGTTTAAAACTTTTTTCCCCCCCCTTTCTATTTCCTTCTTTTTTTTTGTTTTTCCTTTTTTCTTCTTCTTCTTTTTTTTTTCTTTTTTTTCTTATAGGAGAGTGATCGATAAGATCGATCAGAGCGAGTTCGAGGGCTTCGAATACGTGAATCCATTATTAATGTCCCTGGAGGATTGTGTGTGACAAGAGCCGCTCGTAGTTGTGCCACAGCACGTACAAGATGAACAACAAATGCAACAGTTTTACATGGAAGAATTGTCAAACAAACTGTCGAAGCTACGAATCGATCCCCTCCTTCGCATTAGTTCCGATAATCAGGGATATCATAACGATGTCTTCGTAATGACGTATTCGCAGGAGAATGAGAACGACAATAATTACAACGAGTATCGTCTGCCGCCGATCTTCCCGTTTCGATACGAAAGACCGATGTGCTCCCGTTCTCTAAGTATAACAGATGTGACGTATGATTCTGGTAACAACAACAACAATAATAATAATGCGATTATTGCTACTGATTATGATGAAAATGATTACGACGATGTGGATGACGAAAGTCCTAGGAAAGGACTACTGAAGCAGATATTTTGCCTTCCATTAAATTAAGATCGTTATAGGGGTGCGTTTTTAAAATGAAACGAAAGGAAATGATAAATTAAAGGAAGAGATATATATTCAAGAACAATCGATTATATCTATCGTCATTTTTCTTTTTTTTTTTTTTTTTTTTATAGACAACACAAGAAAAAGATTTTTGAGGCCTACGACAATGTTGAACTTTTTTTTTCTTCCTTTCTTTTTTTTTTTTTTTTTTTTTTTTTTTTTTTTTTTTTTTTTTTAAGTTCTCTCGTCATTTTGTTAAAAGACGAGCATATTCGAATTCGTCTTATTATATATATATATATATATATATATATATATATATATATATATATATATATGTATAAAATATAGGAATTATACTCTTACGTTAATTCTCTTAACATGGTGCTGTAATGAATTTATTCTATTAACATTTAACGTTATTTTCAGCTATTTTTATGCTGGGAAATGAGGTTAAAGAAAAAAAGAAAAAAAAAAAGAGAAAACGTACCTGACTGCTTCGACTAATCTCTCTTTCTCATAAAATATATTATTCCATTGTGCAGTCATTCCACTTATATCTATAGATAGATAGATAGGTAGATATATATATGTATATACATATATATATATATATATATGTATATGTATATATATATATACACATACATGTATATGTATAATGAGCATTAACTTGCTTTTGCTTATTGTTTAACTGAATCATAGCTTAATATGTTCAAACGAATCAGGCGAAATAAGTCGACTATATTTAAAAAAATATTACAAGTTAGAAATTAGATGCATTCAATGCCAACATACCAAACATAGGTATAATATTTCTACGATGGGAAAAGAGATGGGAGAGACTATCCGAAATCTTTGAAAGGGAGTTTCTTTTTATTTTCTTTTTCTTTTGGTGGGGCTTTTTTTTTTTTATATATATATATAATTATTTTTTTTTAATTTGACAGAGAGCTACATTGAGAAATATCGCTTAAATATATCATGTAGACAAATGATAGATACATTGAAAGTGCGTAATTTGATTAAATACTTGCGTTAACAAAGAAATGTTATATATTAAGTCGTTGTAACTGTGAAACACGGTCGAAGGATTTTCTTTTATAAAATGTAAGCCAAGAGTAAAACATATATATTTTTATTTTATTTTATTTTATTTTATTTTATTTTATTTTTTTTTTTTCTTTTTTTTTCTTTTAAATAGAGTTTATAGAGAATGATAGACAGTATATATATATATATATATATATATATATATATATATATATACACATACATATATACAATGTAAATATAAAGTCAATTAAGCGTATTTTCTAGAAGCTACATTTTATTATACCGTCTGTATAATTACATTCACTTTATTAATAATAAAAATGATATTATTATTCGTATCTTTTCGTTTTTGTTTGTTTTATGTTTGTATCCATCGAAGAAAAATTATTACATGGTTTATTCTTTAAAACGCCATTTACAGTTACAACGATTTTTTACATTGACTTACAGTAGTAGTGCTAAATTGAGAAAAGGAAAAAAAATGAAAAAGGAAAGAAAAGACAAAAAAAAAATAAGAAGAAGAAGAAGAAGAAGAAGAAGAAGAAGAAGAAGAAGAAGAAGAAGAAGAAGTAAGAAGTATTTAATGAAAAATGCCAATTCACACAAATTAAATAATTATATAGCTAAAGACTCTAGAAAGAATATTGAAAGAAGAAAGTTAACGGTTTATAAAGCAATTCGAATTAAAAAGAACGTAGAGAAAGTAATATGTTATTGGTCTCTGATTTACAATTGTTGTACAACCCTTAAAAATGAGATAAAGATTATATAGTTACTATCGGTAAAAACAAAATTTAAGAAAAAAAAAAAGAAAAAAAAAAGAGAAAAAAAAAAGAAAAAAATACAAATAACATAAAAGAGGAAAAAAAAGAAATAAAATAAAATACGAAAGTGTGAGATAAGATGCAGTATTTGGTTTTAATATAAATCTAGAGGAAATAACAAATAAAAAAAGAAAAAAATATATATATATATACATATATACATATGTATATGTATATGTATAAAACCAAGTGCTGGAATTTATATATGCATTATCTTGTAATGATTTTTAATGAATGAAAACCCTTTTGGTTATATGATGAAAAGTCTATTTCAAAAGACATTTATCAAACATTAATTCAGATATACATAATACGGTACATAACGACGATGATGTGACCGTCTTAATAAATATATTCTATAGCCTTAGAGTTATAACTCGATAGAGAGAAATTTTATATTGCCGTTATATGATAAAACGATTAACGAAAGAATATTAAGATTTTATCGGTATCTCAAGGAGGAATAGAAGGGAGGAAGGAAGGAAGGAAGGAAGGAAGGCTTTAGTGTAATTATTAATATGATTCCTATGCGCCATTTTTTGAGTCTACGTACTTAAAATTTACTTTCCACGCGCGCATAAGACGGCATAAAGTAAATGTATATTTATCATATACAGACACATATATATATATACATAATATAGTTAGATAAATTGCACGATTCAGGGTGGTAGCATGAGAGAGATTTAATCGTTGTTTAAATCACGTTAACGTTATATGATATATCGCTTATCGAATAATAACTTTTCCTATAGAATCGTCGAAAGAAATAACGAAAAACATCTACTTCTTTGCGATATTTTTTCTTTGATCGGCCGGCCACCCTGTATTAATTCGCATGTACATATATTTACGCATGTACATAGCTTTAAAGGAAACAACAATAACAAATAAATAAATAAAAACAAAGTACGTATTGAATCGTAAGTACTTGTGTATATTTAGAAGGGAAGAAACTATTAGGGCCATTTGAAAAATTCGCAGCTTTCTTTCTTTCTTCCTTTTTTTTTTTTTTTTTTTATAATGTATAAATTTCATCCATCAAGTGAAATACATCTTAAGGTGGAAGATATAAGAAAGGGATAAAGATATTCCGCGAACTTTTTGAGTGGCCCACGTTAAAAAAAAAGAAAAAGGAAAAAAAAATGACAAAAATAATATCTCTGACATAATATATCACGACTGTGGTTATTTGTAATATAGTAATATAAGTACTATATATATATATATACTACTACTACTACTATTACTATTACTACTATTACTACTAACTATTATTACTATTATTATTATTATTATTATTATTATTATTATTATTATTATTATTATTATTATTATTATTATTATTATTATTATTATTATTATTATTATTATTATTATTATTATTATTATTATTATTATTATTAATACTACTATTAATACTAAAGAATGATAAAAATATTGTGCTTTAATAAGTTGAAAATGTACATCAAACATCACACTGTTCCAATTACTTTATTCGTGACGGGCGTCGTCGTCGTCATCATTTTGTCGTCACAAGAAGATTAAGATTCATTTGGGAAAATAATTCTGGCTCGAATTGTATTTTTATAATAAGTATTTTAATAATTCTTTCACCGAATTGTACTTTTTTTTTTTAATTCATCGACGAGATAGGAGATCGAAGATGACAAGATCATTTGAAAATTTATCATCTTATTATCTTCGTAGGATAAATATTTCGTAGTAAGATTGATTAAGAAGATTATCATTCCGATATTAAAAAATGCGTTATGCTTATCAATCGACGTGTGTATTGCTTTATGATCAACTTGTCGATAATTTTATTGAAGTCCGCGTGCTTCTTGCTTCCAGCAGCTCAGGCAGAAGAAAAAAAAAAACGAAACAAAAAAAGAAAGGCAGACCGCTAAATAAAAGAACAGTTTTATTAGAGAAATGTATTATATAGTATTATCACATACTAAGAGAAGTTATTATATAAATGCTAGCATATTGCAAAGACTATATTGTTTCTTATAGAGCTATGATATATATATAATTATAAATATTATTATGTTTTTTTATTATTATTATCATTCGATATGCGATATCATCAGATAATAAGATCGTAAAATTCTTTGTACTTCATTGATAACTCTCCTTTAAGTCTTTTTGATTCCAGATGCGTCTAATCTTCTAATATTAGAACGACGATAGATATATCACGACGTCCAATAATTATTTTTATTATTAATTATTATTAATTATTATTAATATTTTTATTCTTATTATTTCCCTTATTAATATTATTATTAATTATTTTTATTATTATTATTATTATTATTATTATTATTATTATTATTATTATTATTATTATTATTATTATTATTATTATTATTATTATTATTATTATTATTATTATTATTATTATTATTATTATTATTATTATTATTATTATTATTATTATTATTATTATTATTATTATTATTATTATTATTATTATTATTATACTACAGTACCAGATATCAAAAGAGATAAAATAACTAAACGCTTATTATACTAGGATTTGTGTGATTTATTTGCAAAAATCATATTAGTGCAACGAGGAAGGATGTACATTTTATCTGTCATGATAAAAACTGAAAAGTCATAAGAGATCATTTTATGCTTTTCCAATTCCTTTTTGTGACGCGAAAGAAAACTAAAAATAATCGATATACACACATACGCACGTGCTCGCGCGTAAACACATACATATTACAAATGGCCTGATTATTATTGTTTAACGTATATTTAAAAACATGTACTAAAAAATTAGTACATACATAAATAGTATTTAAAAATACTATAATAGTATTTTTATAAAGTTGTGTTTTAAACAAAATTATTGAGTATTAAATATATCGTATATTCATACACCTATTATTATTATTATTATTATTATTATTATTATTATTATTATTATTATTATTATTATTATTATTATTATTATTATTATTATTATTGTTCTTATTATATTATTATTAGTAAAAATTATTACTATTACTATTATTGTCATATATTACTACATTATTATTTTTATTATTATTATTATTATTATTATTATTATTATTATTATTATTATTATTATTATTATTATTATTATTATTACATTACTTTGCAACCCGCAGAAGCGAATTGGTTCCTTAACGATAGTACGAATAAAAATAACTAATTCATGCAAAAGACACAATTATTTATGTATAATCTATAAAGAATAAAAGGGGGAGGAAAAAAAG